TTCTCCTATCCTGTACACTTGATCACCGAGTCATGTTCTTCTATCCGATGGGCACGTAAGACAGCCCGGATCGTCTGCCTTGTGCGAACACCACCACGCTTCCGACGGCGATGAGGAAGAGACTGGCCACGCTGAGGTAGAATGAGTAGCCGAGGTAAGGGTCACGGAAGTCCTGCTTGGCCTTGCCGCCCCAGACACACATGCAGATGATGATGAAAACAACTGCAAGAGACAGAGTTCAAATGATAAAACTATGACTGTAAGAGAAATGACTGAATGTAACTGTATGAGAGATGACTGAAAGATGAAAGTAAGTGTAAAGAGAGATCATTGAAAGATGAAAGTAGCTGTAAGAGAGATGAACGTAACTGTTAGTGAGATAGGCTGGAGATGAAAAGATTAAAATTAGTTATACGTTTAATATTAGAAGAAATTTTTAAAAAACAACAACAAAACTTGTAATGGTGTGTTATATGAAGCAATCTTGGAAGATAAAAAGCTATAAATCTGAATCTAATATACAATGGATTTTAAAAAGCATGTTGGGGTGGGGAAGGTGTAAGGATTACAACCTATGGGGATGTGTGAGGAGTACAACCTAGGGGATGTGTGAGGAGTACAACCTATGGGGGAGGTGTGGGGATTACAACCTAACTGTTGTATGCTGTCAAACTATTTGAATAGGAACATAAACTCCTCTCTTTCCAATGAAATAAATAAATGCCTTCTCCGCCAGGCTATGCAAAACATGAAATAACAAATTATTTGAAATTGAAATCTTCAGTGTCCGCAGATCACACTGTAGCGTCTCAGCCTCTGTGTAGAAACTAAGGCACACACAATAAATATGGAGGTTGCTCAAACCAGAACGTGCCTCTGACCTAATTCTGTGGTGCATATTATCAAGCTGAAAGAATTGACTTATCTTAAATGTAAAATTAATATTTTAAACTACAAAAAATGAGACTAGGTATGGAGAGAAATAGAGGACCACTAGTCATTATGTATCTTATATCTCATATTGTAATAGTTAAATAAAGTGGGTCAAATAACATATCAGAAACATGTTGTGTTACTCAGTTGTGAATAATTGTTTCCCTAAACAATGGTAAAAAAAATAAATATTTCTAATTATTTTGGCACTGCATCTTAATCTTATTAATCAAATGTTCATCAAACAGCAAAATACATTCCAATCAAATACATAAATACATTTTTTTTCATGAAAGAGGAAAGTTTATGATTTAAGAATTTATTAAAATATTATTATTTTACTCATTTACCTTTGAACTTGGAATAAAATCTCTTAAAATATCAGAGTGAAATTAAGATAAAATGGTTGGATGTTTAAAAAATTAAATCGCATTTTCCCTTTGAGTTAAAAAATATTCAGAGCAAAAAGGAAAAGAAAAGAGGTATGGGAAGAGTAATATTTATATGAAATTTTCAGCATTAATCGAGATTCACATCTCATTAACAATGTCAACATTCCTTTCAGCTGCTGATACAACGGTCCTCAATTTGTACAGCATAAATCGAGATTCACATCTCATTAACAATGTCAACATTCCTTTCAGCTGCTGATACAACGGTCCTCAATTTGTACAGCATAAATCGAGATTCACATCTCATTAACAATGTCAACATTCCTTTAAGCTTCTGATTCAAGGGTCCTCAATTCGTACAGGTAGATTCTTGGTCTTGTATTATACAATGATAACCAACACGGATGATGATAAGTTTCAATATAAAATGGATATTTTATTGTGAACAATCCAGTAATGATGTTTGAGTATGTAGATATTTATTTTACATTGCTATTTTTTAGTCAGTGCTTCACAAATCACCGAAACATATGATATGGAAAATTATTTTTAGAGTATTTTGTCTGTATATCAAGCCAAGAAAAGTTTTTAACAAGTAGATAGTTCATGGCTGACTTTGCAAAGTAATCTCATCATAAAATCACAAGTATCTCTTTATTGGAATATAAATTTTACAAATCTACTGACCTATTTAAATAGCAGTCACAGTATGCGTTACAAAACAGGATGTTCTCCACCTATGATGAGTGATTTATTTTAATTTTATCCGTACACAGAGAAGAACTTGGATGCACACAAGTTTCCAAACCAGTTACACATATATTGTGTCTATTTGTATACAAGTTATGGAGAATGTTACCATTGGTCAGGTATTTTTATCCATGTTTCAAAGCTACTCAAGGCAATCCCCTCTAACGATAACACACCAAGCCAAGTGAACCATATTGTTCAGTGGTTTTCCTTTCCTCCTGTGGACATAAAAACTCTCTTCTTCCACAGCTGAGATACAAAATGGCTGCTGGGTACGGACCACAGCTTCATTCCTTGACCTCCTCCAGCGTCTGGTTCCTTCTGATCGTGTATTTCGGCAGCAGGGACTGGACCATGACCTCACACATGGCAGACATGTTGTAAAGGGGACGGTAGCCCCAGTCTTTCACTGCTGTACTGTAATCAAACTTCTGTGGCCATGAGTCAGCTGTATACAACATAAATATTTATACTTAATAATGCAGACATACAACATAAATATTTATACTTAATGATGCTAACAACATAAATATTTATACTTAATAATGCAAACATTTTTAGTTGTAATATTCAAAGCAATTGCGGATAGAAAATTAGATTGAGTCAGGGTAACTAGCATGGCATAACACCTAGCATCTCATACCACCTAGCATCTCATACCACCTAGCATCTCATACCACCTAGCATCTCATACCACCTAGCATCTCATACCACCTAGCATCTCACACCACCTAGCATCTCATACCACCTAGCATCTCATACCACCTAGCATCTCATACCACCTAGCATCTCATACCACCTAGCATCTCATACCACCTAGCATCTCATAACACCTAGCATCTCATACCACCTAGCATCTCATACCACCTAGCATCTCATACCACCTAGCATCTCATACCACCTAGCATCTCATACCACCTAGCATCTCATACCACCTAGCATCTCATACCACCTAGCATCTCATACCACCTAGCATCTCATACCACCTAGCATCTCATACCACCTAGCATCTCATACCACATAAACCTCCTAAATTTATTGAGGCATGTTTATGGATTTTTATTTTAAAAGTACTATTTAACACAACAGTGACTTGGATAAATTAAATCAACTCATGTCAGCATTTATATATGTTATGTGTGCGCTTTTTAAAAAAATAATTTTATTAACAATTTTTCTATTTCAGTTTCAATTCTGTCAACCTGTCAAAGACAACATTTCAACGGTCAGATGTTAAATTGGATTATCATTGGATTATTGACAGGCTTGCCAACACAATAATAAATGTTTAGAGAAATTATTTTTAAAATCTGTATGACTTATTTGGATGAACTTTTTCTATATACACATTTGTAATATAAAGCTAAAAAGTTATTAAACATTTTTATATTAAAAGTTTTTTTTTAAATTTTGAAATATTAAATTAAGAATATATTATACTTTTTACAATTTTAAATCCCAAATTCATAATTTTAAGCTGAAAGTGAGCAAGGACACATTGAAAATACTGAGATTCCCAGATTAAATTTCCTCCTGAAATTCTCACAAACTGTTAAAGACATGTAAATTATTCAAGGCCAGATAACCCCAACTCATGTACTGACCTATCGCTTGTCTGTGGTCAGGGTTGTAGACAACCTCAAGATCTGGAACACATTTCCTCAGTTCATTAGCCAGCTCTTCAGGTGTGAAGTCAACAGCTTCAATGTTGTATGTCCTCATAGAAAGCTTTTTATCTAGGACCTGAGCAGAAAAAGTAGAAACATTTTACATGGAAAACCTTGAATATGAATTCACCTCATGAATCAGTTTTAGAATTATTTTAAGAAATCAGTGTCATCTTCAGAAATCCACTGGATTTTTTTTTTAGCCATGCATGACCTCTTACTAAACAATGAGGCACAATAATATGTGCTTACCTGCATGTAGTCCACTGTGGCTGTCAGTAGGTCGTCAATGTACATCATGGGCAGCCTGGTGTCTGGTATCAGGTAGCAGTGGTGCACCTTAGTGGTCAGGGCATCATGGAACATCTTCAGGGCATAATCTGGAGTGTAGTAGGTTACAATAAGACATTCCTAGTTTTAGATTTGAATTTTGATCTTTTTTTTTGGGGGGGGGGGGGATCTTTAAATTATTCCATTTTTGGTTTAACTTATTATATTATTAAAAGGTATGCCTTTTTGTTGTTTTTTTAACTTCGCTTTTTGAAGGTAGTTAATCTCAAAACACAAAAGCTGGGTTTGTGACATCTGTGACAACCCTTGTCTCACCTGTCGTACCACCTCCAGGTTGATCCGTTGAGATGACCCCTGGGTATCTCAGGCACCGAAAGTCCAAGCCGAACTTGTGATTATAGTACTGCAATATTAAAAGGAATATCCTTCTCTCTAAATTATTCCAAACATTTTTATTGCATATAGTAAATCAAAGTTGAATACGGCACAAGTCAATGAATATTTTTTTTTAAAAAGTATATTGACATTTGTTAAAAAGACCATGTAGGCATATGGCCCAGTCATGTAACACAATGATCTAACCATGTAGGCATATGGCCCAGCCATGTAACACAATGATCTAACCATGTAGGCATATGGCCCAGCCATGTAACACAATGATCGAACCATGTAGGCATATGGCCCAGCCATGTAACACAATGATCGAACCATGTAGGCATATGGCCCAGCCATGTAACACAATGATCGAACCATGTGGGCCTATGATCTAACCATGTAGGCATATGGCCCAGCCATGTAACACAATGATCTAACCATGTGGGCCTATGATCTAACCATGTAGGCATATGGCACAGCCATGTAACACAATGATATAGCCATGTGGGCCTATGATCTAACCATGTAGGCATATGGCCCAGCCATGTAACACAATGATCGAACCATGTGGGCCTATGATCTAACCATGTAGGCATATGGCAAAGCCATGTAACACAATGATCTAACCATGTGGGACAATGGTCTAACCATGTAGGCCTATGGCTCAACCATGTAAGCCAATGATCTAACAATATAGGCCTATGATCTAACCACGTAGGCCTATGGCCCAGCCATGTAAGACAATGATCTAACCATGTGGGACAATGCTCTAACCATGTAGGCCTATGGCCCAACCATGTAAGCCAATGATCTAACTATGTAGGCCAAGCTCTAACCATGTAGGCCTATGGTCCAACCATGTAGGCCTATGATCTAACCATGTGGACCTATGATCTAACCAGGTAGGCCTGCATCATTATGGCTGAAGCCAGGGGTTGACCATATGAATCACACATCTGAAAAAAGGTTACGTCACCGGCTTACTTCCCTTATCTCAATTTTTTCCAAAATGAACGATTTTTGTCTAGAGATAAGATTTAGCCGAAGTTCAATGTACTTTACTTTTTTTATTACTAATTTTGATTTCTTGTAACACTTGTAGCAAATACAGATTCTTTCCAGCTTTCTTGTAACTGACAAGGCAAACCAATGTTTTACAAATCATCGCTCTAACACAGGCCTGTCCAACTCAAAATGTAAGGAGGGCCGTAATACTTTATGAAAAACTTGAGAGGGCCAAAAGAAAATAGGACCCGGGGGGGGGGGGGGAGAGCTATTAAGAAAATTTTTTTTTTTTTTTTTTTTTTGTTGTTTTTTTTTGGGGGGGGGGGGGGGGGGGAGAGCTATTAAGAAAATAATAATACAAAAGAATATTTCGTTACTTCGAGGGCTGCAAATTGGGTACTGGCGGGTTAGGGTTAGGCAAGTTGTGCAGGCCTGGCGGGCGGAAAAATGGGTACTGGCGGGCCGCATGTTGTGCAGGCCTGTCGGGCCGCAAAGTGGGTGCTGGCGGGCCGCAAGTTGTGCAGGCCTGGTGGGCGGCAAAATGGGTACTTGCGGGCCGCATGTTGTGCGAGAATGGTCTAATATTTCAACTGAAGGTCACATGCACTGATATGCAACAAGAAAGTGCTTCGGGCAAATGAATTTGATCTTTCGAAAACGCTGATGAAACCGCACCTAACCGGTTAAGACTGCTTGCCCTGAAACTATGAAGGTAGCTCATTTGAGGCATGGGATGTTAACCCATGATGTGCCATGAGCTGATGAAATCATTCGCCCCCTCCCCACCACCCCCATTTTGGTTAGTTGTGTCACGTCATTGAATCCCTCAATTCAAATATGGCCCACTGACAGACCCACCTTAAACCAATGTTTGAAAAATGTGACCAGTGAACTAGAGACCGACCGAAAGTGATTTTCTGATTTCGGCCGAAGCCGAAAATAGGCCGAAAGTTTAAAATGACTTACGGCCGAAACCGAAAAAAGGCCGAAATTTTAAAAATGACTTTCGGCCGAAACCGAAAAAAGGCCGAAGATTAAAAATGAATTTCGGCCGAAACCGAAGCCGAAACCGAAAATGAAATATTAAGATATTTTGAAATTCGTTCCCGCATACATTCTGCATACATCGAAAATGATGTGGGAAAGTATAAATATTTACATTCTTTTATAACAAAAATTAGATAATCGTAAATATTAATAAATAAACATCTAATATAGGGGTCTCAAACTCGCGGCCCGCGAGCCATATGTGACCCGCAAGACTATATTTTGCGGCCCGCAGAAAAGTT